TCGGCAGCAGCTTCACACGCTCTTCGGGTACAAATTCCGAGAGACAGATAGCACACTCGGTATCTAAGCCAGGCAGATTCAGTTCAGTAGAGTAACTTACTGTCTGGAAACTCTTCAAGGCTTTTCGTTTGACTCCTGTGTTGGTCAAGCGAACGGGGTGGTTGTCACCAGCTTCAGATGGTACTAAATTGGAGCACCTCAAGGCACATCTTATTATAGAATTGAGTCCAAGTGAGCAAACGAGTGCACATAAGAGGACTGATAGGACCATAACAACATTTGCATCAAAGTTGTTATCGCCTACATATGGGGATGGTGCCGGAGTTGGTGATTGATCATGGGTATGAAATAGTAATTTTCTTGAGTAAGAACTTCCAATAATTTCTTGAAAGAACTCAGTTGGTTTCATGGTGAGAGTGGAAGTGGTAGTGGACATGATAACTTAGTTTTAAGATAGATGGGTGGCTTTCTGGGTTTCCGTTGGAGGTTGTTTGTTTATATAGAGGAAAGGTTTGGAGGCTACTTGTTTATATAGAGGAAAGGTAAGGTTTCAATTTTTTTTTGAGATATTTAATGAGGGATTCTTTTTCTTATTTCATTTTTAAAAATTATAATTGGATGAATAAGAAGCTATAAAGATCAAGCTCAAATTAAGTACCTTTAGTGTCTGAATTTTATTAAATCATTTGCAGCGTAATATGCTTTGTTATAGAAAATGGGTCCATCATACCAGTTGTTGCAATAGTAGTGCCATGTGGCTGTGGCCTTAGCAAATCATATCTCCTAGAATTGCTTCCAGGGACCCATGAGCTTTTTAACTGGAGCAGCCATGAACTTTCCCTATCTTTGAGATAGCAGCATTCATATAATATCTCCTGGTTCATTTTACTGAGATCTCACAGTGCCTTGATATTAGCCTATTAGGGCTTCTAATATATGTTTTCCACTTATGGTGTTGACGAAAATCGAGTTTTCGTAGATAGTTCTGTCCCAGTGATATATGTGTCTAACCTGTAAAGGAGTGTATCATATAGAAAACTAAGCAAGGTTTGATTTAACTTTTCTTTTCTTTCCCTTTTTGCTATTTTTTAACAGTGGTGGATCTTAAAAGTTTTGTTGATTTTGTGCGGTTTTGAGGGTGTACGGATGAAATATTTCCATTTAGTGAATTCTACTTATGTTTGGGGAACAGGAATCCACCCCATCTGTAGTAACTCAAGTTATCCATAGAGTAGCCAAAAGGACAAAGCCTCTCCCAATCAATCTTGTTAAAGGCTACTTTTATCAAGAAAGATAGATCACTCTCATAGCATTAGTATCCACCTCCTCCTTTTTTTTTTCACTACAATTTTTCTCTCTTTATCTTTACATGCCTTTGTTTTAAATCAGAGGTAAAGGAATTGGTCCCACGGATGAACGAATAAAAAATGATGCTTTTTGTTTGCTTTATGAGATATCGTCTTTCATTGGTTGCAAATTGCGAGGGAAATCTACATGAATCTAGTATCAAATGTTTTTCTTGTAGCTCCAAATCAAAGCAAGATTCTTTGAAAGGTGCTTTTGTAGAACATTGTTTCTTGCTACTTTCCTAATAGCTGGTTTAGTGAAACATTAGATTAGGGAAGATTGTGTATCTTTGGGATAAAAAGTTGATGTTACACAGTAGGAGATGCATCTTTTCTATCTTTTCCCACCAGTCTCACTCGGAAATGGATTCCTTTTTTCTTTTGTTTGTGCCATTAGGTTACATATAACTGGTACAACATTTAGTGGTTAGTTTTCTTGGTACCTTCTTTAAAGCAAATAAACTTTACTTTTGTTGAGTATGCTATAATGATTCGTTGGTTTGGAATATCTTAATTTGATACTCATTCACTTTATAGTTGAAATTCTTGATTTTTCATGAGAGGTAACATGAATAAAGGTTTGAAAACTGAACAGAGAGAAACATCATTCAAACTAAAATTGATCATTTACGTTATTTTTTTGAATGATTGAAGTGAAATGTTACCAACATATCGAGGTGCAATCACATGACTTAAGGTGAAATAATGCAACTTGGTGAGAACTTGAAATATTTCTAAGAACATTTTTGCTGGATGCATTCATGATGTGTAAATGGTTTGGATCCAATGGGTGCTAAGGGCCATAAGAAAAGTTTCAGGAACATTTTAATTAAAGTTCTCTTTGGCTAGAAAGTTGAAATACTGAAACACAGAGACTTAGTCTTGTCTTTTAATCATCTATGTACCATTATTGACATTCTTTGGTGGAACCAAACTTCTTTAATCATTTACTCTTTGACGCCATTTCTGAGTGTTCATCTTTTGGTGACCTTTTGATTAAATATATATTTGTTCATCGTTCCTACTAAATATCTGTAAATATCTATTTGTTCATTCTTCCTACTAAATAATTTCTTTGTGTTAAGTAAATATCTATTTGTTCATAGTTCCTAATATTATCTTTTTATCTTTTTTTGTCTTGTTCATGGTAATTGCTATTTTGATGACGCATGCGTGTGGATCGGTTTTGAGGCATATAGATAGATTTTTAAGTGCGTTGAGTCATGTAGATAGATGTAATTTTTGTTCAGAAACTTCGTGCATTTGTCACTAGCAAGAATACATGCGACCAGGTCTGGACCATAATTGCATCTTGTAGACTAAACACTGCTTCTTCACACAACTCTTGGCATTAGTTATCGGCAAACCATTTATTCTGTCTAGTTTCTTTTTGGTTCAGTGTATTGATATGACACATAAAGAATATACGACTAGCACTTATCAATCTTTGGTTATTAGATGAATCTTTGATGTTTTTGGATAAGATTGCAAAATTCACATTCCACCGTAAAAATAATTACAAAGAGAAGTTTGATGAATTCGTGAGATGCTACTGAAAAGTGAGACATAATCTCTCTGTAGTCTGTATACACTTTGTGCTACAGGCAAAAAAGAAAGACAAAAAAATTAGAAGTACAAATCTTTTAACTAATTGGAGCACCAATTTTGAATTGCTGATGGTTTCTGCCTTTCTTTGCATCTAGCTGATTTCTCTACAAGTGTTTACTCTTCCTTCAGGTTCTAGAGGAGCAATCATGACAATCACGATTTCTGTTGGTTCTGCCGCAACTGAATCAGCTTGACTGAAGTCACCTAATATCTTTTGGCATGTCTCGACCAGACAGTGTCTGCATTTTGGACATGTCAAATGCTGTTGAAGCCACTTGTCTATGCAACGAACATGGAATCCGTGGTTGCACTTGGGGAGCAGCCTGAGCTGTTCACCAGAAACAAAATCGGACAAACAAATGACACACTCTTCGCCAAGCCCCGGCAGGTTCATCTCTGGTGAGTAACTCACAACTGGGAACATTCTAAGAGCTTTCTTCTTGATTCCTTTGTTTGATGAACCCCGTGTTGTTGGATGACTAGGTATAGGCTCAGAGATCATGAAACGTGAAGAACGTCTGGATGCACAACGAATGATGTAATGCAGCCCGAGGCAGCAGATGATGCCACAAATGAGGATTGAGAGAAGCATCAGAACATTCCCCCTGAGGTTGTTCACATGGGTAATGAGAGGAGATGGTGAAACCGCAAAGTCTCGTTGAGTGTTGTGGTCAAACGGGTTGTGCAGAAGCAGCTTTCTAGAGACAAAACCGCCAGTGAGTTGCTCTTGGAAGGCTTGAGCTGAAGAAGGTAACTCATATGCAGACATTTTTTACTCTTTGAAAAAGCTTAAGATCAGAGTCTCTTCTCTATGCTTTGCTTTACTTTGTTTGGTTATTGTTTCTTAAAGTTTTGAGGAATTCAAAGTTGTCTTACAAGTTTTATATAGCTCGAGATGCTTACTGATTACTGTTGGGAATGAGTATTTTATCTAATAATATTTTTTCTAAGAAAGTGGGATTTCTTCCTTTTTGATTTGTTTATCAAATGAGACTTGAGTGCTGATTGTGCCATTGGCCCATACCTCCTCCAACCCCAAGATGCTTGTGTATAAGTACTACCACTTTTCCAACATTGAACTTGGAAATCATTTATTTATGTCCGACTTTAATATCAATTTTGTCTTGTGTCGAGTCTTGATAAGCTAGATCTTATTATATTGTCATTAGTATATGTTTAAATCTGGCTAGTAGTTGCAAACTCTATTCTGAGAATTCCCAAGTATCTAAATGTCTGGTTCTCTTCAGGTGAAATAACATGAGAATTGGAATATTTCTGGGAATACTCAAGTAAGAGTTTGGATCCAATGGTTTTTAAGGGTCATTAGAAAATTTTCAGTAACGTTATAAATAAAGCTCACTTTTGAAAGAAACTGGAAATACTGAAACACAGAGCTTTGATCCTGTCTTTTAATTATGTATGTACAATTATTGATTTTCAATCTATGACTTTCTTTGGTGGAACCTATTCTTTAATCATTTACTCTTCAACGTGTATTCTCAGTGTTTGTCTTTCGGTGAACTTTTAAGTACTCATAGTTCCTACTAAATATCTGTTAAGTAAATATCTAGTCGTTCATCGTTCCTACTAAATATCTGTTAAGTAAATATCTCTTTGTTCAACGTTTCTACTAAATATCTATTTGTTCATCGTTCCTACTAAATATCTTTTCTTGTCATGATAATGTAGAGAACTTCATTTTGTGCTAGGATGAATAGACAGAGCCTATTGTGTAGCAGCTCTTTTGCTTTATAACGGTATGTCGACACTTTCTCCATTATATTATTAGCATAGTTACAATATTTGTTATAATACAAAAAGGTTAGGCATGAATCTATCTTACTGATCAAGGTCTTTAGGCCAACAAGTGGCCAAGATTTTCTTAAAGCACTAAGATACTATTTTGAAACATTATCTTCTAAAACTATCATTGTTCTCTAGTGCTTCTATATTTACATACTTTTAACGCGTATTAATAATAGAAAAGTTCTCCCCTACCAAAAGAACATTATTATAATTGCGATAGTATCGGAAATTTGAACATCTTTTGTTATAATAACATCTATGATCTACTGATGTCCTACAGTTGTCCCAGTAGTTAATTGAAGGCAAATTTATAGATTATTGACAGAGTTGAACAATTTTAGACCATTGCCTGTTGCAGTATGGGCATCACTTACGCTAAATCCGCGATAGATCACGGAAAAAGTTGTACTTACTTTGTTGCAGTTTTCACAATCTCAATAGCATATTTTACCATATATGATCTGATACCATCTGATTTTCCTAAGATGCGTGTAATGGACATATGCTACCTGTAAACCACAGTCTTATGATGTTAACCAATAACCCTTCTTTTTTGTGGACAGCCTTAATTACTATTAAACTTTCTTTGTTAAGTGGGGCTGTGCTTATTAATTGAACTTTTCAACACTTTATTTATACCTCATCCAATCAGAAATGCCTAGGATCTTAAACTCTGTTTTAACTATCATTTGTTTATGACATGTCTTTTGTTTTGATAACCTTGTTTGTGACATGTTGCTTCATTTTAAATTGCAGGATCTCCAAAATCTCGTAGTTAGAATATGTGGTTCTTATCTCAATCGCTTCCGCCTCCAACAGCCGTAGCCATGCCGTGAAATTCGCCGATTTGATCAAAAGCTCAGTGATCAGGATTCCGAGTTTGGTATATGGAGAATCTATGAAAACGAAAGATCTGAATCGTTTGGCTTAGCCTTTTGTTGGTTCAATTTTCATGAAAATATCTTGCAGTAGCTAGTGTATGATATTAAGACCTTGTTATAAACCACATGTTGGATGGACTCCATAACCGTGGACCTTATGCATATTCTAGAAGGCCCATGTCCATGTCCTAGAAGGCCCATGCCCATGTTCTTGAAGATTCTCCTTATGACGGCCTATATTGTACTTAGTGGGCTTTTGGGCTTTAGGGTTTACTAGCCCAATGGGGATTTGTCTCCCCTCATCATGTATATATATGTATCGAAATCTCATTCATTAATCAATAGAACAACACAGTTTACAACACGTTATCAGCACGACTTGCTCTTAACGAAAACCCTAAAACCCTAACCCTAAAAATCGTGGCACTGTTCATCGCCGACACTGTTCATCTCGGTACTGTTCATCGCCGTACTGTTCATTGCCGACACTGTTCATCGCCGACACTGTTCATCGCGGTACTGTTCATCGCGGCACTGTTCATCGCGGCACTGTTCATCGTGGTACTGTTTGCGGTTCGTTGCAGCAGCGTGAGTTACCGAGGTCTTTAGCTCCCGGTTCTAGTCCATACAACCCCATAAGGTGAAAGGTAACATCAAAACCCTAAAGCTAAAGAACCAACAATTGAACTTGAAAGTTAAGCAAAGAGAAACCCTAAAACGAATGATGATTGATTAAGTGATTGCTTTGCTTGTATGATTTGATTGCTTGTTTGATCCGATTGCTTGTTTGCTCGATTGTTTGACTCGTTTAGGTTGCTAGAAAAAGTTGATTATCGCTTAAGCTAAACTCGCCTAAGTTGCTAGAGAAGTTTTAATTGTCTAAACCTAAAATCGCAAAACGAAAATACATAAGCTAATAACCGAAACTTTAAAGGTCTAAAAACCTAAAACCTAAAACGAATCTAATCCAAAAAAATTCCATAAGTTTAAATCGGCTTGATTGAGATTGTTTAGGATGTTAGATTGTTTGCTCCTTTGATTGATTACATGCTTAACACCCTAAAACTAAAATTGCATGAACCCTAGAAAACTTAGAAAAGATAATCCTAAAAGAAATCTCAAAACCCTAAAACCTAAAATCCTAATTAAAATAGGAAATCTTAAAATCTAAAATCATAAGTGAAATAGGAAAATTAATCCTAAAGTAAAGAGGAAAGTAAATCCTAAAAAGGAAAAGGAAAAGTTAATCCTAATAAAAAGAGGAAATCTAATCCTAAGCAAAAGAGGAAAGTCAAATCCCTAAGTAAATCGATTCATGGTTCGGTCTAAAATACCGCATGACACTAACGATTACATGATTTTGACTCAAAACTTTTCCTTGTAGATGTTGAATTACAACTTGTACTTTACTGCCCTAAATTTCTTAGGAGATAATTATTTTAAAATGGGCAATGGATACTAAGATTATCCTAAAGTCAAAAGGACTTGGTGAATGTATCTAATAAGGCAAGAATGCCAAGAGAGAAAGATAGATACAAGACAATATTAGCCACCATCTTATTGAGAGTCTCATAATCCAGGACTATAAGTCCGTGGATGAGTCTATTGCTAGATGAAAAAAAAAAAATAATAATGACTTACAGATAAAAACAGTGAGTTACGACCTCATAGATTAACCCCATTACCTAATGCCAATAAGGCCGCAGAGGATAAGAAAGAATCCAAAGAATCTAACCACGTCTAAAGTGATAGACCACACGGCCGTGACCGTGGTGGATGGAAAGGACGTGGTTGTGGCCACTATAACTCATCCGGCCGTGGGAACCACTATAACCGTGGATGTAGACCCAATTCCGGCCGTGGTCGAGGGCGAGGACGATGTGGTATTTCCAAACCACAACACTCGACCAAATGAGTATGCCATAGATGTGGTATTGAAAGGACGTGGTTGTGGCCACTATAACTCATCCGGCCATGGGAACCACTATAACCGTGGATGTAGACCCAATTCCGGCCGTGGTCGAGGGCGAGGACGATGTGGTATTTCCAAACCACAACACTCGACCAAATGAGTATACCATAGATATGGAATGGGAAACCATTGGGCTAAGATATGTAGGACTTCCAAACATCGTTGTGACCTCTATCAAGAGAGTGTAAAAGGGAAGAATCCTAAAGCCCATTTGGTATATAAAGATGGTGAACATGATCAAGATGATCTAATAGAGTATGAAACTTCTGATTGCATAAAAGAATCAAGTTGATAAATCTTACTTCGACATCAAAACCTCTATGTTTTTCTTTGCATTTTATGTGTTCATTGATTGTTATTTGCTTGAATTTATTTTATATTATTTTATGTTTAGAACATGATTCTTGTCCATATAAGAAATGGCCGAGGACAAGAACATAATTGTGGTGGATAGTGGAGCCACACAAAAGATAAGAGATATTTTCCTAAATCTCATAATGAAAAATGCCAATATTAGCACCATAGCGGGTATAGCTAGTCTTATTGAGGGCCATGGTCATGCCCATATACTTTTATCAAAGGGCACGCATCTTGAAATAAGCGATGCCCTATATTCACCCAGCTCGAAGAGGAGCTTGTCAAGTTTCAAAAATATAAGATTGAATGGTTTCCATATTGAAACAAAGGGTGAAGGGAACAAAGAATTCCTAAATATAATTGAGATCACCCAAGGACATAAGAAAGTCCTAAGAGACTATACCCGCATTATCCACTGGTCTCTACTATGCTAAAATCGATATGATCGAAGCTAATATGGCAATGAACAAAGAGTTCATCAAGAAATTCACTTTATGGCATGACCGGCTTGGCCATCCGGGTCATAGTATGATGCGTAAACTAATAACTAATTCAAAGGGGCACACCCTAAGAGAGAAAAGAGTTATCCCTAAGAATCTCACGTGTGAAGCATGTTCACAAGGGAAACTCATTATAAGGCCATCACCGGCTAAGGTAAATAAAGAGACCTTAAAATTTCTGGAAAGGATACAAGGAGACATATGTATGGTCCTCATTGATGCATCGACAAGATGGTCGCATGTTTGTCTCCTATCTACTAGAAACCAAGTGTTTGCTAGGTTATTGGCCCAGATAATAAGACTGCGAGCCCACTTTCCAGATTTTCCGCTTAAGACTATACGTCTAGACAATGCCGGTGAATTCACGTCCCAAGCGTTTAATGACTACTGTATGTCCATGGGGGTAAGTGTGGAACATCCCGTAGCACATGTACATACACAGAATGGATTAGCGGAATCCTTCATTAAACGAATTCAATTGATAGCTCGACCATTACTCATGAGGTCGAAGCTCCCAGTAGCCGCTTGGGGACACGCTGTTTTACATGCATCAGAACTTATACGCATAAGGCCATCTAGTGAACATAGATATTCACCATCCCAATTACTTATGGGTCATGAGCCAGACATATCCCATCTAAAGACTTTCGGGTGTGCCATATATGTACCGATTGCTCCACCACATAGAAACAAAGATGGGACCTCAAAGGAGGATGGGAATATATGTTGGATTTGATTCTCCCACCATTATTAAGTATCTAGAGCCAACTACGGGTGATCTATTTAAGGCTAGATACGCGGATTGTCATTTTAATGAATCCGAGTTTCCTACTATAGGTGGAGAGACGAACAAGCTGGGTAAAGCAATAAAAGAAATATAATGAAATCAAACATCCTTAAATTGGCAAGATCCTCGGACTCTGGCATGAGAATCAGAGGTCCATAAGATTATACATTTGAAAAGCTAGCTAATCAATTGCCAGATTCCTTTGCTGACCCAAAGAAAGTTACAAAAACGTACATACCAGCTTGTAATGCACCAGTACGTATTGATATCCAAAAGCGAATCAATGAAATTGCTACCGAGTCTAACACACGAAAGAAACGTGGTAGACCAATAGGTTCCAAAGATAAAAATCCTCGAAAATCAAAGAAAGGTGCAATAGGAATCCGAGGTTACTAAGGAAACCATCCCAGACATGGAGATAAGGCCGGCCGGCTCTAAGGTACAGGTACCATATAATGTAGCTTGGGACGCCAAGCTGCAAAGTATTAAAGGTCCTGACCATAATAAATCTCAAATCGATTATATCATGTCTGGAACATAATGGAACATATAAGAAATGTCGACATAAGATGATTTTGCATGCAAGGTAGCACTTGAATTTATGAATATAAATGAGGATCAGGAGCCCACGTCTATACTAGAGTGCACTCAAAGACTTGATTGATTAAATGGTACAAGACCATAAAACGTGGAGCTAAGAATCATTAAGAAAAGGAATGAGTTTGGTCCGACCTTAAGGACACCATTCGATGTAAAAACCAGTAGGACACAAATGGGTCTTTGTGAAGAAGAGAAATGAGAATAATGAAATCGTGAGATATAAGGCACGGCTTGTAGCACAAGGATTCTCACAAAGACCGGGGATAGATTATGAAGAAACATACTCCCCTGTGGTGGATGCTAAGACATTTAAATTTTGCTAAGTCTGGCTATATAAAGAAAAAGACTTGATTTGCGGCTAATGGATGTAATGCCTGCATATTTATATAAGTCCACTGGATGATATATATGAGATTACCAGAGGGTATTGAGCTCAAAGATAAAGATAAGAAAGGGTCTCGAGACCAATACTGCATAAGGCTGAACAAATCGCTTTATGGACTGAAACAAAGTGGACGCATGTGGTACAATAGATTAAGCGAGTACCTAGTCAGAGAAGGTTATAAGAATGATCCCATCAGTCCATGTATCTTCATAAAGAAATTTGCAAACGAAGGGTTTGTGATAATAGCAGTATATGTGGATGATTTGAACATCCTTGGAACCTCTGGGGAAATCGCCCAAACAGTCAAATATCTAAAGAAAGAATTCGAGATGAAAGACCTAGGCAAGACAAAATTCTGTTTGGGATTGCAACTTGAGTACGTGAATAATGGAATCCTTGTGCATCAAAAGGCATATACTGAAAAAGTACTCAAGAGATTCAATATGGACCAGGCCCACCCATTGAGCAGCCCAATGGTGGTGAGAAGCCTCGGATTGGATAGTGATCCATTCGGTCCAAAGAAGGATGAGGAAGAAGTTCTCGATCCTGAAGTGCCACACCTTAGTGCCATAGGAGCGTTAATGTACTTGGCTAGCCACACTAGACCAGACATATGTTTTGCCGTGAACCTCCTTTGCCTAAATTTAGTTCATGATCAACCCAAAGGCACTAGAAAGGTTTGAAGGAAGGTTTGGTTAAATTTTAAATTCTATTCTTCCTATATTTGTTTATTTGGGTTTTATTCTATACTGATCTAACCAAAGAAGGTCTAGTTTGCTTTGGTTTAGTTTGTTTTGCTGATGCAGGTAAAATCAGATTATGGCATGGTCAATAGATAGGAACTACGTGTGGCTTGATCCCTTCCAAGGGTACGTAGGCAGCCTTCTTCAAGGCGCAGCTACTACAACATCAAAGACCATCATATGAGGAGACAACAGCCTGTATCGCTCAGCTCAAGGACGGCTACATCAAGGGAGATCGGACGAAGCACATTCTAACAAAGTTCTTCTTCACGCATGACTTGCAAAGGGATGGAGAAGTTCGAGTGGTACAAGTTCGATCCAGCGACAACTCAGCCGATCTCTTTACCAAGGCATTACCAACATCGACATTGAGGAAGCTCACGCATCAAATTGGAATGCGGAGACTTAAGGACTTGCAGGGATGACCAAAACAGGGGGAGTAATACGTGCTGTACTCTTTTTCCTTAACCATGGTTTTGTCCCAATGGGTTTTCCTGGTAAGGTTTTAATGAGGCAGCATCCCCAAGCGTATTACTGAGATCCTTTGGCATCTACACGGTTATGTCATCCAAGGGGGAGTGTTATAAACCACATGTTGGATGGACTCCATAACCGTGGACCTTATGCATATTCTAGAAGGCCCATGTCCATGTCCTAGAAGGCCCATGCCCATGTTCTTGAAGATTCTCCTTATGACGGCCTATATTGTACTTAGTGGGCTTTTGGGCTTTAGGGTTTACTAGCCCAATGGGGATTTGTCTCCCCTCATCATGTATATATATGTATCGAAATCTCATTCATTAATCAATAGAACAACACAGTTTACAACAGTGTGCCTGTTGTGGAGAAAAGAAGAATAATAGAGCAAGTATATTAAAGTTTGTATCAGATCGTGCTTTAGTACTAATTAGATAAGATAAAGGGTGAGTATATTTGAGGCATCAATAAGGTAATTAGTATCAACCCTCAGAGTAGAGTAGGAGATCCGGAAGTTTAACAGTCTTTGGTTTAATAATGGTGAAGGATTTCTCACTTATCTTGCTTCACAACACCCTCACTTAGATGTTGGTATGTGACTTATGGGGATGGTATCTACAGATCAACTCTACATCTGTACAGTGTATTTTGGCATGGATATGTCTGGTGTCAAAGTTAGATCTCATAAGATGGGTTTATCACTGACTGGGGGTTGAGAATCTTACAAGACAAAGTTTGGTGTAACTTGAAATCTTACAAGGCGATGCATTCCCCAAAGTAGCTTTCAGGTCTAACTTGAAACTTATGTTGGTTGGTTTGCTCTATTATTGGTTGGGTCCATATTCCTATGGCAGAGTTTATTTCGTTATCATCGGGGGAAGGATCTTGTGACATGTGTTATTTCAAATAATTTATTTGCTATCCCGATGACTCATGTGTGTTGATTGGCTTTGAGGTATATAGGTAGTTTATAAAGTGGGTCGTGTTAAGTGGGTAGATGCATTTTTTCAATATCAAGCATACACAAGATGAGGCCTGGATCGTAGATGCATGCATCTTGTAGACTGGACCACTGCTTCTTTACACAAACCTTGGCATTCATTACTGGGAAACTATTTGTTCTGTCTAGTGACTTTTTGGTTCTGTGTAGTGATTGCGACATATAAGAATATGACTAGCACTTATCAATCTTGCTTATAGATGATTCTTGAAGTTTTTGGATAAGAATGCATAACTGACATTCCACCATTAAAAATAACTTTGCCAAAAGAACTTTGATGAACTCGTATTGAAAAGTGAATTATATTCTCTCTGTCGACACTTTGTGCTACAGGCAAAAAAGAAAGACATAAAAAATAGAAGTATCCGGTGTTTTTTTTTCCTCTTTTGGAACCCTTCTATGATTTAGAAACTAAAATCATCTATCTAACTGCTGACAGATACTGAATTGCTGTTGGTTTCTGCCTTTCTTTGCATCTAGCTGCTTTCTCTAAAAGTGTTTACTCTTCCTTCAGGTTCTAGAGGAGCAATCCTGACAATTACGCTCTCTGTTGGTGTTGCTGCCATTGAATCAGCTTGACTGAAGTCACCTAATATCTTTTGGCATGTCTCAACCAGACAGTGTCTGCATTTCGGACATGTCAAATGTTGTCGAAGCCACTTGTCTATGCAACGAACATGGAACCCGTGGTTACACTTGGGGAGCAGCCTGAGCTGTTCACCGGAAACAAAATCCGACAAACAAATGACACACTCTTCACCAAGCCCCGGCAGGTTCATCTCACGTGAGTAACTCACGACCGGGAACATCCTGAGAGCTTTCTTCTTGATTCCTTTGTCTGATGAACCTCGTGGTGTGGGAAGACTGGATATAGGCTCAGAGATCATGAAACGTGAAGAACGTCTGAATGCACAACGAATGATGTAATGTAACCCAAGGCAACAGATGATGCCGCAGATGAGGACTGAGAGAAGCATCAGAACATTCCCTCTGAGGTTGTTCTCATGTGTTATGAGAGGAGATGGTGCAACCGCTAAGACTCGTAGAGAGTTGTGGTCAAATGGGTCGTGTAGAAGAAGCTTTCTAGAGACAAAATCGCCAAGGAATCCTTCTTGGAAGTATTGAGCTGAAGAAGGTAACTCATTTACAGACATTTTTTACTCCTTGAAAAAGCTTTAAATCAAAGTCTGCTCTCTCTGGTTTTCTTGTTTGGTTATTGCTTCTTAAAGTTTTGGGGAATGCAAAGTGGTCTTATATATAGCTTGAGATGCTTACTGATTACTTAGTGGGGACTGAGAGAATTTTATAATTGGACAGTAATAGTTTTTGTTTAAGAAAGTGGTTTCCTTTTTGAAATGAGAGTTGGGACCCAGAAAGAGCTTATCCAATTCCATGAATTCTTGAGTGCTGAATGTATCGTTTGCCCATACCCCCTCTAACCACAAGATGCTTGTGTCGAGACATTGAATTTTGAAATTTTTTTTTTTTTTTTGTGTCACTTTATACTAAAAAACTTTGTCTAATCATGTTTGTCTTCTGTTGATTCTTAATAAGAAGGATTTTATTTTATTTCCATTGTAATATGTTTTAAGTTCGGATCATATTTGCAAAATCTATTTTGATATTCCCAAGCAGCTACATGTCTGCATATAAATGGTTTTGTTGAGGTGAAATAACGCGACTTGGTGAGAATATTCAAGTAAGAGTTTTGCTGGATGCATTCATGATGTACAAATGGTTTGGACCCAATGGGTTTTAATGCTGAGAAAAGTTTCAGGAACATTACACTTTGGCTAGAAAGTTGAAATACTGAAACACAGAGCTTTAGTCCTGTCTCTTAATCATCTATGTACCATTATTGACTTTCTTTGGTGGAACCTATTCTTTAGTGCCATTGCTCAGTTTTCATCTTTTGGTGAACTTTTAAGTAAATATCTATTTGTTCATCTTTCCTTCTAAATATCTTTTTTTTCTGTTTTGACAATGTAGGGAATTTCATTTTGGGGATGTGTTGGGGTCGGATTTCATCCCATAGCACCGAGCCGAACTTCGAACGCCTCAGGGAACTTCTGAAGACACCTCGGTGAAGCGAGTCATTCACCTCGGTGCAAACTGCCATTCACCTCGGTGCAAACTGCCATTCACCTCGGTGCAAACTGTCATTCACCTCGGTGCAAACTGCCATTCACCTCGGTGCAAACTGCCATTCACCTCGGGGCAAACTGCCATTCACCTCGGGTCACTGCATTGGTTGCCTCGGGGAACGCCGGTAATCTGCTCGGGGTCTGTCAGCAAGCTTGTGAACCCGAGCCGGCTCCCTTCAAGTGCCCGAGCCGGTTCACTCCGGGAATCCGAGCCGGTTCGTGTCGAGACCCCCGAGCTGGCTCCTTCCGTGGACCCGAGCCGGCTTCCCTCGGGAGCCTGGGCCGTGCCTCTCTTGTCCCCGAGCCGATTGCACAAGTCACCCGAGGCAAAGACTTGGTAAAATATTCGTCTTCGAAGTACCATTTCCAAGTAGGTCGTCATTTCCGAAAGAGAAGGATCATTTCTGATAAACCCGGAAATGATAAGGAAGAATCTCAAAGGATCGACTCAAATCAGGATATCTTCCAAGAAACTCCGAAGAATAAGGAAATTATTCTTATTCTGCGATATTCTAAGCCGACTTCAAGATAAATGGAAATCTTCCGAGAATATCGCGGGAGAGGCGCTTTATCACCCCTATATAAAGAGATTCAAGGCTCTCGCAGAAAGGGAGGAATATCGCTCTAGAAATTACACTACGCAAAAGCTCTCACAGCACAAACATCTTTTCTTTTACGATCAAACTCTTGTATGATTAAAACTACTCTTTTCATCAATAAGATCAAGAACACCATCTTTGGTTACAGTTGTTTCTGTTGTTCTTTGAGAATTCACTTTTATCGTATCCCTAAATTAAAACCCTAGACAAATCTCGATTGTGTTAGTTTCAACTTCCACAGTTTGGCGCCGTCTGTGGGGATACTTTAGAATTCTCTTACTCTAAGACGCAGAACTCGATTACCGAAAAGGACGATGAACGAAGACGGTCGTCAGACACCACCAGCCGGAGGAGGGATCCCGAACCCTCTGAATCCTCAAGCCGATCCGACGATCATAGCGACTCTAGCCGAGCTGAAAGACCTGATGGTTAAATTCCAGAAAAAAGCTGACGACCAAGAAAAAGCTAACAAAACCTTGGCGCAGCGAGTCGACGAAATCGCAACACGTGGGCAACAAAAAACCACGCGTTTCCAGACTCAGCCGCCACGAGCTCGGAGGAATTTGCCTGACATCAACCCAACAAGACTCACGTTCGCAACACCAACCAACAACACCAGAGTCGCAACCCGAGCCGACCCTGCCAGACGCGAGAACCAAGATGATCCTACCGAACCAGACGCAGTGGACGTGACAGACGAGCCAGATGATTTGCAAGACGAGCGCACCCGAGCCGGAGCTAACTCCGCCGAGCGAACGGACCTTACTGATGACGAAGAAACTGAGGAAAACATAAGGTGGGCCAAAGAATCCGAAAGAGAGGACGAGCTAAGCAAGATCCGAGCCTCCCTAGCCAAGGCGGAAGCTGATATGAAGCTCGTCAAAACCCAGATACATAGCGTTTCGTCCTCTGCACCGAACATCGACCGAATTTTGGAAGAATCTCGGAATACGCCTTTCACCAAAAGAATTTCCGAAACGACGATGTCCAATCTAGGAAAGTTCAGAATCGACTCTTACAACGAATCAACCGATCCGAAGTGCCACATTAAATCGTTCGTGATATCTGTGGCCCGAGCCAGGTTCAAACCCGGGGAAAAGGATGCAGGTCTATGCTTACTGTTCGTGGAACACCTCAAAGGACCCGCATTGGAGTGGTTTTCAAGATTGGAACGAAACTCGATTGATAGTTTCGACGAGCTGTCGACACTGTTCCTCAAGCAATACTCCGTGCTCATCGACCCCGGAACCTCCGACGCGGATCTGTGGTCCCTGTCTCAACAGCCCACCGAGCCGTTAAGAGATTTCCTCAAAACATTCAAATCGACGCTAGCCAAGGTCGAAGGAATTACAGATGTAGCCGCTCTTTCGGCTTTAAAGAAAGCTCTCTGTCGCATCAACATATCATCTGTGTGTCAAATTCCCGACCCCCAATGGCGTGAAAACGATCTGGGGCAGTCAGAAAAATTCTCGGATGTGTTTCATGGCAGCACACAAACTCCGAAACCCTGTCACTGAAGCGAAGGTAGAAACAGATCACAAGAAATCAAAACTTGGCCGGAGTGAAGAGAAGGCTATATCTAAACAGTTATAGCAATTACAGATCGAGGAGGCGCGCGAGGAGAAGAAGCCTACCTCGGATCCTGTAATCTCCATTAGCCTCGACGACGAACGGCCTGAACGATGCGTGGAAATTGGCAGCGATTTAACCGAGGAAATCAAGACCGAGCTCATATCATTCCTCAAAGAGAACATCAACACCTTCGCCTGGTCGGCTGAAGATCTACCTGGGGTAAGCATCGACGTAATCTGCCACGAGCTGAATGTTGACCCATCTTTCAAACCCATCAAGCAGAAGCGAAGAAAATTGGGTCGGGATCGCGCAGATGCCGTGAACGCTGAAGTAGAAAAGCTCTTAAAGATCGGCTCGATCTCCGAAGCAAGATACCCGGACTGGTTAGCAAATCCTGTCGTGGTTAAAAAGAAGAACGGCAAGTGGAGAGTCTGCGTCGATTTCACCGATTTGAACAAAGCTTGCCCTAAAGACAGTTTTCCACTCCCACATATCGATCGCTTAGTGGAAGCAACCGCGGGAAATAAGTTCCTATCGTTCATGGATGCTTTCGCAGGATACAATCAGATTCTCATGCATCCCGACGATCGCGAGAAGACAGCTTTCATCACAGACCGAGGTATCTACTGTTACAAAGTCATGCCCTTCGGACTCAAGAACGCTGGCGCAACGTATCAACGGCTCGTCAACAGGATGTTCTCCGAGCAGCTCGGGAAGACGATGGAAGTTTATATCGACGACATGTTAGTCAAGTCCCTTGAAGAGAGCGATCACATAGCCCATCTATGCGACTGTTTTCGTCAGCTCAACAAGCACAACATGAAGCTCAACCCGGCAAAATGTCGTTTCGCGGTAAAGTCGGGAGAATTCTTGGGATATCTCGTAACTCACTGAGGCATCGAGGCAAACCCGAAGCAAATCGATGCTCTACTGAACATGCCCTCACCACAGAACAAGCGCGAAGTCCAACGTCTCACCGGGAGAGTCGCAGCCTTGAACCGATTCATCTCGCGGTCCACTGACAAATGCCTGGCTTTCTACGATACTCTGCGCGGAAACAAGAAATTCGAATGGACCGATCGCTGCGAAGAAGCTTTCCAGGAACTGAAGAAGTATTTGGCTAATCCACCGGTGTTAGCAAAACCAGTCCCAGGCGAGCCATTATTTCTGTACATCGCAGTCTCTGATACGGCGATAAGTGGAGTCATAGTCAGGAAAGACAGAGGAGAGCAGAAGCCGATATTTTATGTCTCGCAAACCTTCACCGACGCGGAGACACGCTACCCGCAAACCGAAAAGCTCGCCCTCGCCGTAGTAATGTCAGCTCGGAAGCTACGGCCATATTTCCAGTCTCACTCAATTGTCGTCATGGCGCCCGTATCACTCCGAACCATCCTGCACAGTCCGAGCCAATCGGGACGCCTGGCCAAATGGGCAACAGAGCTCAGCGAGTACGACATCGAATACAGGAACAAAACATGTGCGAAATCTCAAGTCCTGGCCGATTTTATCATCGAGCTGCCAACTGAGAACGCCCGAGAAGGGTCACCCAACGCTGTTTGGACCCTCCACGCCGACGGCTCATCCTCGAAACAAGGTTCTGGCGTCGGAATCCGCCTAGCATCACCAGAGGGTGAAATCCTTGAACAATCCTTTCGGCTGAATTTCGACGCGACTAACAACGTGGCTGAGTACGAAGCGCTGATAGCAGGACTTAAGCTGGCTCGGGGACTTAAGATCAACAAGCTGCGAGCCTTTTGCGACTCCCAGCTCGTGGCTAATCAATTCAATGGAGAATATGCGGCTCGCGACGAACGAATGGAAGCGTATCTTGCTCTCACGCAAGACTTGGCGAAACAGTTCGGCGAATTCGAATTAACCAGAATCCCACGAGGTGAAAACACATCGGCCGATGCCCTAGCAGCTCTGGCTTCAACCTCCGACCCGAATCTAAAGAGAATCATACCGGTCGAGTTCATCGAAAAGTCGAGCATTGAAGAAAATAGCAAGGATCAAGTTCTAACAGCTCGGGAGACAGAAGAACCGGAAGAAATGGACATCGAACTACTAAACCAGCAAACTACGGACGCAACTGAGCCCGAATACGGAAGCGACGCCAAATGGATCGGAGCCATCCGAAGCTACATAACCGATGGAGAAGTTCCTACTGAAAAATGGGCAGCTCGGAAGCTTAAAGCCAAAGCGGCTCGGTATACTCTGATCGACGGAGAACTCTTTAAATGGCGATTTTCCGGCCCCCTCCTTATCTGTGTCGAAGGAAATGAGGCTCGGAGAGTCATGGAAGAAGTACACGGCGGATCTTGTGGGAACCATTCTGGCGGGAGAGCCCTGGCTATAAAGATCAAACGCCACGGATACAATGGTCAAAGACTGCGAGAAGTTTTCTCAACGGTGTGATAAATGCCACAGACACGCGCCAACCATTCATCAACCCGCCGAGCTCCTCTCTTCCATCACTTCGCCTTATCCATTCATGCGATGGTCCATGGACATCATCGGACCTCTACACGACTCCAAGCAGAAGAAACTCGTCCTCGTACTGACAGACTACTTCTCCAAATGGATCGAGGCGGACTCCTACGCCATCATCAAAGACGCGCAGGTCGAGAACTTCGTCTGGAAGAACATCATATGCCGCCACGGGATACCTTACGAGATCGTTACAGACAACGGATCGCAGTTTATTTCGGCTCGGTTCGAAGGATTCTACGAGAAATGGGGAATTCGCCTCAGCAAGTCAACGCCTCGGTATCCTCAAGGGAACGGACAAGCCGAAGCGGCAAACAAGACAATTCTCGACGGAATAAAAAAGCGCCTCGACGCGAAGAAAGGCCGCTGGGCCGATGAATTAGAAGGAGTACTATGGTCGCACAGAACCACGCCGCGGCGGGCCACGGGAGAAACACCTTTCGCCCTTGTCTACGGCACGGAGTGTGTGATTCCCACCGAAGCCGAGATCCCGGGATTGAGAAGACGTTTTCTCCCCGAGCAGGAAAATTCCAACACTCAGATGATGCTGGACGAGCTGGACTTAATTGACGAAAGAAGAGATTCGGCTTTGATCCGTATGCAGAACTATCAGAATGCAACGGCTCGGTACTACAATTCTCACGTGAAGCATCGCCGCTTCCACGAAGGAGAGCTCGTACTGCGCAAAGTTTTCCAGAATACCGCCGAGCATAACGCAGGTAAGCTCGGCACGAATTGGGAGGGACCTTACACGATCGCAAAGGTAATCCGTCCCGGCGTCTACGAACTCATCAACATGAAAAGCAAAGCGGTACCTAGATCCTGGAACGCAATGCATCTAAGGAAATATTACCGCTAAAAACCTAAGGTGCGCATGCACTTGAACTACGGGGTGGCTTGATCCCTGAAAAGGGTACGTAGGCAGCTCGTCCTCGGACGAGTTCAGCTACCCCCTAATTAAAAAAGGGGGGGAGTGGGTCCGTATACATATACTCCCACTAAAATTTCATTCTTTCTAAAGTTTACCCTTCGGGTTTTCAACCCAAATCCACCTCGACATTTTTCCCAAAACTCATCTCGGGAACTTTTACTATCCTCTTATCGACCCACAAAGCTAACAGTTCATTCGGATGATGGCCACGTCCACGAACAGAGAGCTCATTTCACCGCTTCGGTTACAGCGCGCTATATAAGTATTCGAGACAATTCGGTCAGAGATATCTGACCACCAAGAGATTGTCTTCGGAAAACCCAGTCGACTCCGACACTGGTACCCCAGTTCGCTTCTAAGCACTGGCTTCGACTATATCAGCTCGGGTCGCAACCGATAGAGATTAGTCCCATATAACCAAAACCCAGTTACCTTAACACTGGTGAACGATCCATTTCACTTTCAGTTCGGAAGTAGAAATGGTTCGGGAGAATTAACTTTTTCACATCATTTACAAAAACCCAGTTATCTTAACACTGGTTCGCTATTCCGAAAAATAACTCCTACTGAACCGAAGCTCATTTTTACCAAAACCCAATTACATTGACATTGGTGTATAATTCGGTTCGGAAGTTAAAACGACTCGGAAAAGACTAACTCCTCGATGAACAAGTCATGTTTACGAAGTCACTTCGGGAGCAACTCAAGATGAACGAAACAATTCAAGTATTTAAGGAAACATGCATTCAAAAGGGATAAAGCCGTCCAGGCACAAGTCTTACAAAAAGGAGAAGAATCAAAACAAATCCAGAACATAAAAGAAGGGGCGCCTCGGGATCACTTATCCTGCTCCTCGTCTGGAACAAGCGCAGCCTCGGAGCACAGGTTCGTCCCTGCTTGATCTATAACTCCAACTTCGACCGCCTCGCCCTCCACCGACCTATTCCCAAGGCTATCGTGAGCAGAGTCGGGTGACACCGGAGGAATCTTCAAAGTTTCGAGCAGCTCGACCGCGAGCTGAGAATACTCCGCTTCGGCGTCCCCGAACTCTTCTTTCCATGCCTCTACCTCTTTCTTCTCGTCCTCGATCGACTTGCCCGCCTCGAGCTCGGCAATCAGCTCGGCGTTAGCCTTAGCCTGGGAGAAGTACATGTATCGATCAGCGACCTGGTCGAACTGTTCCAGCTTCGCCTCGATCGTCTTGATCTGCTTGGCGAATTCTTCGGTAACCTCCCTTTTGGCAGCCTTCTTGGCTCGAGCAACCTCAGCCTCCCGAAGGGACTTCTCCTCGGTAAATAGGCGGTTGAGGCGCTCAATCTCCGCTTCGGCTTTCTGCCGAATTCGAGTGTTCTCCTCGGCATCCTTCCGCCTCGCTTCTTGCTCAGCCGCAACCAAGGCCTCGGCCCTCTCCCTTGCTGCGGTCGTCTCGGTTACTCTCCTCTCCGATTCCGCTCGGGCCATCTCAAACTGCTCGCTGGCAGCTTCGCGCTGGCGGTTCGCGGATTCGTAAGAACGAACCAGCGTGTTCATTGAGGAGAAGGCCTGGGGATAAAACGACATGTTAGGAACGGAAAAGAACTTCGAAACAAGGGGTTCAACAAAAAATTATTATTACCTTCAGAAAGTTGGCCAAAGTCTCGGCGTATCTTTCCGCCTCGGCCAGAGTCTCAGGGGTCGTCAACAACGGCCATGCACACGAAGCAACAAGGTTGGCCGAAGCCACCTTGTCCTTGTAAATCGGTCGAGAGCTGCTGTGATCGCTCTTCGACTTCTTCCTCCTATCGGTAGAGTGGTCGCCCCGAGGACGTTTTCCCTTAGACTTGGCCTGTCTACCAGCAGCCAAGCCGACCACAACTTCGGTGTGTTCGACCTCGGGAGCTCGAACTCCACCGTCCCCAGCTGGGACATCGTCGACCGCTTCGGGAGGAACCGAAGTAACAGCTAGATCAACCCCGGATCCTTCGGGGCCCTTAACCACTTCGGGCCTGCCAGACGCCTCGGGTAGATCGGACGCCTCGGGCCTTCTAGACCCCTCGGTCAAAGGTTTGAAAACCGCCTCGAGAGCTCTTTTCTGCTCGGCCGCTTCCTCCTCAGCAGCCTTTTTCTCCCTTAGCGTCATCTTCGCCTTCTGCATCTCCATGTAGCCGCTTAATCGGTGATCCGAGGAGGATGATGATGATGAACAGGACACGCCTCGGAGTAATCTCAGCGCTTTCTCAACTCTTTTGAGCGTAAAATGCTTGGTCCAGTTACACTTCCGGGAAGCCAACTCCTCGTGAGTTTCTAAAAGATCTTCGGGGATAAGCTCGAGGAACGCCGGGTTACGATCTGAAAATGAAAACAAAACTGGTTAGAATAAATAGATCAAATCACGACAGAAAGAAAACTTAAACGCTTCGGGTAAACTACCGATTTTGCCCCATTTCGCAACAATTTTATCAAGGCATCCCTCGGGGACGGAGTCCTCGTCAATCGCGACGAAGAAGAAATGATCAGTGTACTTCTCATCCTTGCTCGGGAACCCGCCAATGATCTTTTTCTTTTTGCTCGACGAGATGTAGTATCTTTCCAGAGGACCTGGGCTACGACGAACCTCCAGGAAATTCCTTAAATGCCCGAGGGACAAAATTTTATCCGCCTCAAAACTCCTTACTAAGATCCCAATAAGATGCCGCAGTCCACGAGTTGAGATCTGAGCCAACGCAATCTTATACGACCACAAATACTCAACGATCAGCCTCGGGAGAGGGAACCACAGGAAACAAAAACTGAAAAACCCCTCGTACAACGTGAAGAACCCCTCGGGAGGATTATCGGCTCGTTCACTCGGGGTCGGAAGCCTCATCGTGACTCATTCACTGAAACCGAACCGAACTCTCAATTCTCTGAGGGAGTCCTCGGTGGATAGCGTAGAACCAGGAGGGTCGGGCCTTTTTACTTTTCTGGCTCGCTTCGTCTTCTGCTGTAGAGCCTTAGCCGCTTGCATCCTGGCCTGAAGCATTCTCGCCTCCGCGTCGGAATCATAGTGAACCGCCTCGGCCTTTACAGGGAGCAAAGACGGCTCGGGCGCTTTTTGCCAACGAGAACCCCCAGCTTCGTCCTTAGACGGAGGACGCGTTCTCCCCGTATTTAAAGCTGCCTCGGGGTCATCAGGAAGATCCTCATCCCGAACCACATTCGCAACTGTATCCTCCCGAGCCACAAATTGGCTCGGATCTTGGTCCACGGATGACGATTTTGCTTCACTATCGTCGTTCCGCTCGGAGCAATCTGAAAAACTAGCCTCGGTTCCTTCCAAGGGACTGCTCCAAACCATCTTCCTTTCATGAACAGGAATGTTTCTGCCTCGGGACGAATCACTTGAATCAGAGAGTGACATCTTCGGCTCGGGTGAATCAAAAAGAACCAGAAAAACAAGATTTGAAATCTGAAAAACCAAATCTAAGATCTGGCACGGCGGAGGAACGACGGAAAATAAAGCAAAGCAGAGAAGATTAAAGAGATCAAGATCAGAGAGAAAAGAAGCGAACCTTAGAAATTTTCCTTGCAGATTGCGAAATGTGAAAATGAAGCAGGAGTCGGATATTTATAGAACACTTCGGCGCGTCGGGTACACACGAGTTTAATAATATTTCGCATCCGCCCAAGTCTCGGGCGCGTCGGGTGCGCGTGACCAACATTAAGATACTTCGCATCCGCACGGGTCTCGGGAATCAGCAGAGGACTCTTCCACTTCTCGAGGTAGAATCTCAACCGTCACACGCGCTAGAAGAAGATGAAGCGTCAAAGAGGTTCGAATCGTCAAGAATCAGAATCACCGAAGGGACACTAACCATTTTTGAAACATTGAAAATTTCGCGGCATACAAGGATGGGCTCGGAACAAAGTTTAAAACGGCTCGGACTAACAGTCGTGAAGCTCATTGGTTGCTCTTCGAACCAACGAGCTGGGGGGCTAACTGTTGGGGTCGGATTTCATCCCATAGCACCGAGCCGAACTTCGAACGCCTCAGGGAACTTCTGAAGACACCTCGGTGAAGCGAGTCATTCACCTCGGTGCAAACTGCCATTCACCTCGGTGCAAACTGCCATTCACCTCGGTGCAAACTGCCATTCACCTCGGTGCAAACTGCCATTCACCTCGGTGCAAACTGCCATTCACCCCGGGGCAAACTGCCATTCACCTCGGGTCACTGCATTGGTTGCCTCGGGGAACGCCGGTAATCTGCTCGGGGTCTGTCAGCAAGCTTGTGAACCCGAGCCGGCTCCCTTCAAGTGCCCGAGCCGGTTCACTCCGGGAATCCGAGCCGGTTAGTGTCGAGACCCCCGAGCTGGCTCCTTCCGTGGACCCAAGCCGGCTTCCCTCGGGAGCCTGGGCCGTGCCTCTCTTGTCCCCGAGCCGATTGCACAAGTCACCCAAGGCAAAGACTTGGTAAAATATTCGTCTTCGAAGTACCATTTCCAAGTAGGTCGTCATTTCCGAAAGAGAAGGATCATTTCCGATAAACCCGGAAATGATAAGGAAGAATCTCAAAGGATCGACTCAAATCAGGATATCTTCCAAGAAACTCCGAAGAATAAGGAAATTATCCTTATTCCGCGATATTCTAAGCCGACTTCAAGATAAATGGAAATCTTCCGAGAATATCGCGGGGGAGGCGGTTTATCACCCCTATATAAAGAGATTCAAGGCTCTCGCAGAAAGGGAGGAATATCGCTCTAGAAATTACACTACGCAAAAGCTCTCACAGCACAAACATCTTTTCTTTTACGATCAAACTCTTGTACGATCAAAACTACTCTTTTCATCAATAAGATTAAGAACACCATCTTTGGTTACAGTTGTTTCTGTTGTTCTTTGAGAATTCACTTTTATCGTATCCCTAAATTAAAACCCTAGACAAATCTCGATTGTGTTAGTTTCGACTTCCACAGGATGAATAGGCACAGACTATTGTGTACAGTTCTTTTGCTTTATAACGGTATGTCGCAAAACTTTCTCGAATATATTATTAGCATAGTTGTGAATTATAGCTACTATATGTATTATATTACAAAAAGTGTAGACATGAATCTATCATATTGATTGAGGTCTTTAGTCCAACAAGTAGCCATGATTTTCTTAAAGCACTAAGATAGTTTTTTAAACATTATCTTCCTAAGCTATCAATGTCCTCTAGTGCTTCTGTTTACACTGTTTTACTTGTAACTCTGTTAATATTAGAGTAGATAGTTCTCACCCAGCAAAAGAACATTATAATAATTGCAATGGTAATTTAACTGGTCGCAGAAATTTGTACATGTTTAATATTTTTTCTATACTAATATGGTATTTGTATTGATGTCTTATGGTTGTTCCAGTAGTAAATAAATTTATGGCAAATTTCTAGAAAGCCTCAATTGTTGAGAGAGTTGAACAATTTTAGACTATTAGCTGTTTTAGTAAGGGCATTACTTAAGCTAAAACCACAATAACCCTTCTTTTTTGTGGACAGCCTCAATCACTATTAATTTCCCTTTTAAAGTTGAGTATAGCTTATCAATTGAACTTTTCAACACTTTATTTGTATCTCATCCAATCAGAAATGCCTAGGATCTTAAGCCTTATATGAACCATCATTGTTTATGGCATGTCTTTTGTTTTGATAACCTTGTTTATGACATGTTGCTCCTTTTATATTACAGGATCTCCAAAATCTCGTAGTTAGAACATGTGGTCCTTAACTACATCAGGTATTAGTAGTTTTTTTTACAATGGGTTATGAAATCACTCAGTTATAGGAATTTGAGATCTTGAGAATATATGAAAAAGATTAAGATATGTAGTGGTATATGATGTTGATCACTCTATGTATTCTTTTATGTTTGCACGAATTTATTTATTATCATAGAGATGGAATTAAAGTAAGCTAAGTTTGTAGTTTTGTTTCTGTTTTCATACTACGAGATAGCAGTGAGTAGATCTGAATCGTTAGGCTTAGTCTTTTCTCGGTCCGGGCTATCATGACAAATATATTGAACAAGGTAGTTGTGCTTGGTTTGATGTGGGGTAGCTTTACCCTCACTTTTAGATTTTGGTGTGTGACCTTGTGGAGATGGGTTCTCTCGACCAGGATGGTTTTTACTAATCAAATTTTCATTATTTACAGTGTATCATGTCATAGGTATGTCTGGTGTCAAGGCTATATCCCATAGGATGGGTTTATCACTTGACCGCTGGTTGAGAATCTTACAAGACTATGTATCCCCCAAACTAGCTAGCTTGTAGGTTTGAATTTTACGTATACTTAGATCGGTTGGTTCCTATCACTTTCCTATGGCAGAGTTGATTTCTTTGCCATTACGATGAAGAATCGTCTGGTATTTCTTATCTTGATGACTCTGTGTGGATTGGTAGTGTTTTAAGTGGGTAGTGTCAAGTGGATAGATACATTTTTTCTTCACGAACTTCGTGCATATGTCACTATCAAGCATACGCGCGATCAGATCTGCACCGTATATGCATCTTGTAGACTAAACACTTCACACAAAGCTTGGCATTCATTATCGGAAACCATTTGTTCTGTGTACTGATTGTGACAAATAAGAATATATGATTAGCATTTATCAGTCTCTGGTTATAGATGATTCTTAATTTAGTTTACATTCCATTGAAAAAATTACATTCTCAAAAAGATGTTTGATGAAGTCGTGAAATACTACTGAAAAGTGAGATATGTATTCTTTCTGTAATCTGTATACACTTTGTGCTACAGGCAAAAAAGAAAGACTTAAAAAAAACTGATGTATCCTTCTAAAGCTGAAGACATGAATTGTGCTCAGATCAAAAATCTCCTATCTAACTAAATCACAAATTCTGATTTTTGATGGTTTCTGTCTCTCTTGGCATCTAGCTGCTTTCTCTTAAAGTGTTTACTCTTCCTTCAGGTTCTAAAGGAGAAATCATGACAATTACGCTCTCTGTTGGTGTTGCTGCCACTTGATCAGCTTGACTGAAGTCACCTAAGATCTTTTGGCATGTCTCAACCAGACAGTGTCTGCATTTCGGACAAGTCAAACGTTGTTGAAGCCACTTGTCAATGCAACGAACATGGAACCCATGGTGGCACTTAGGGAGCATCCTGATCTGTTCACCGGAAACAAAATCCGACAAACAAATGACACACTCTTCGCCAAGTCCCGGCAGGTTCATCTCAGGTGAGTAACTCACAACTGGGAACATCCTAAGAGCTTTCTTCTTGATTCCTTTGTTTGATGAACCGCATGGTGTTGAAAGACCAGAGATAGGCTCGGAGATCATGAAACTTGAAGTACGTCTGAATGCACAACGAATGATGTAATGTAACCCGAGGCAACAGATGATGCCACAGATGAGGATTGAGAGAAGCATCAGGACATTCCCACTGAGGTTGTTCTCATGGGTCATGAGAGGAGATGGTGCAACCGCAAAGGCTCGTTGAGTGTTGTGGTCAAATGGATTGTGCAGAAGCAGCTTTCTAGAGACAAAACCTCCAAGGGATTGCTCTTGGAAGGCTTGTGCTGAAGAAGAAGCTAATTCATTTGCAGCCATTTTTTAGTCTTTGAATCAAAGTCTCTTCTCTCTGCTTTGCTTGGCTTTGTTTGGTTATTGCTTCTTAATGTCTTGGAGAATTCAATGTGGTCTTTTATACAGCTTGAGATGTTTACTAGGTTCTGAGAATTTTATAATTGGAATCTAATAATTTCGGTTCAAGAAAGTGCGTTTTTCTTCATTTTTTTAAGTGAGTATTGAGAGAATTTGGGACCCATAAAGCTTATCCAAATTCATGAATCATTGAGTGCTTATTGTGCCATTTGGCCCATACCTCTCCAACCACAAGATGCTTGTGTAGGGACTCTCACTTTTCCAACATTGAATTTTGAATTATTACTTTTTGTCTCACTTTAAATTGGAAAACTTTGTTTTATCATGTTTGTCTTGTGTTGATTCTTGATAAGCTGGATTTTATTTGATTTCCATTATTCAGTGTTTGAAGATTATATTATTTACTTTTTGATTATTTTTTTATATCAAGAGGAGGAAGATTTTGTTGTATCTTCCCCACAGTTTAATGCTTTGCCGACAATATGTGGTGTGTAAAGCAGTCTTTTTGCTTTAGCATTAATATTATTTCTTTGCTCTTTCCATGTGTATGTGTTTTGTTGCTTAATAGTTCACTTTACTTTAAAACACAATCAGTTTGATCAATTTTTTGAGAATGGTTGGGTGGTAATTTCGATTTTAAAAGTTTAATTTTTGGGATACTTCATAAAATAAAGGCTAGCTCCTTTTACTATTTCTATTGTTTGCTACTTAACCAAATAGATTTTTGAATTTGTTGCATCGTAGTTTAATTCGATTTTCAATGTATAAATTTTCAGAGACTTCATAAGAAAAACCACTACATCCTTCTACTATTTTGATTTATTTCTACTTAACCAAATAGATTTTTGAATTTGTTGCTCCTTGTAGCTACCTTTTCATTTTTGAGTTTCTAAAATTTTGAAACAAAATTGACAAAATAAGTATGCTATAATTTTATTTGCAAAACACCCTCAAGTGGTGAGTGATTTCTTCTAATACGCTATTTTTAATATGACATACAATTTATACATTATTTTGGCTTTTTGGGAAAACCACACGGGAAAAATGGTCTTTTTTAATTATGATTTTGCCAATTTTAGATCAAAATATTTTTATCTACCTAAATTTTTTTTGTTTTTTCACGAAATTTTAGTGAGTTTTTTTTTGCTTTTAAAGGTTCATTTTTAGGTATATATAGCCACTTAGGCTTCCTTATAGAGGATCGTCCCTAACTTTATATGATTTACGAAATGTAGGGGAAAATATCAGATCACAAAGTCTTTGTGACTTTTTTCTATGTTCTCTTTACGGGTGAAATTTGCAAAATCTGTTTTGATATTCCCAAGTACAATCTAAATGTCTGCATATAAATGGTTCTGTTGTTTGTTTATTTGTTTTATGTACTTGGTCGGCGTTTGTTTATTTCTTCTGTACCTTTCAAAAAGAGAGGAACGTATAAAATTTATACGTTTGGATTTGAACTTTTGTCGCTTTCTTCTCCTAAATTTCCCCAACCTTAACACCAAGTCCCATGTTTATTACTCCCTCAGTATCATAAAGAATGATTTTTTGAGATTTTATTTTTGTCTCAAAAAGATTGATTCTCTGTAAAATTTTATCAATTAATGTTAATAAATTATAAATTAAGAATCATTAATTGAGAATTTCAAAATTTGATGAATTACTATCGGTTAATTTGATGAATTACTATTGGTTAATAGCTATGAGAAATAGTTTGATATGAATAAATAGAGTATTTATAATTAAACATTAAATGTTTTTCTTAATTGGTATGAAAACTCAACAAAATCAATCTTTTTGATACAGAGGGAGTACTTCTTAATAAGCTTTTTATTTATTTCATGATCATTATATTTAAATGTTTAATTCTTCTAAATTTATCTATGATTTTTTTTTTTTTTGCGTGTTTTACTCTTTTATTTCCCGGATTCATTACGTTATAAGCTGATAACAAAAAGAAAAAAAAAATTTCTTTTTGATAAGAAACGAATTTTCTTATCATCATTGATAAAGAAAATAAGAAATTCTTTATAAGTTCCAATCCTGCTTAGAGTTCAATCTTGCAAAAAAAGTTGGAAGTGAGTCTCTTTTCACATGAAAAATACTGAAGCTTTGACTAAAAATATTCATATAGTTAAAAGTTAACTATTTGGAATTAGTGGAACAATGGAACAGAAGAAAGACTTAATTCTAGTTCTGTTTTTGTTAGTATTACTGTGAAATTATGAATAAATCATTTTAGTATAAGGATAAATTTTTAAGAAAAGTTATATATAAATCATTAGTATAGGGATATATCATTTAGTGGAGGTCGGAATAATGCATTTCACTTTTAACCAAGATTATATTTGTCACCAAATTTTGATTACTAAGCTAGTATGTATACCCTTTTTCAATTAAAAATTATTTATTATATAAAATGATTATTGATTGGAAGACTTTGGAGCTAGTGTTAACGAAATTTGTGGACAACACTTATGAGACTTTTATCGCTTTACTTATGAGTTATGATTACTGATTTTTTTTTTTGATTTTTTTTTTGACAACTTTGAATCGACAATACCCAATCCATAGTCAATCCCTACTACGCGGGGTAACGCGACTTAGGGGGTGTTATTCAATGGTGGAGTTAAAGTCAATTCTTTAAGGTTTAGATTTGTTTTCTGATATTTGTTTTAAAAATCTGTTTGTGTGGATTTCAAAATCTCTGCAGTATATCTTGGATTTTGATTCTAATAATTTACTCATGAAACTCCAAAGAGGTTTCATTTGAAATGACTTAATATACAAAGATTTTACAAGTCTTTTAATTTTGAATAACACTGGATTTTACAAACTTTAAAGAATTGACTTTAACTCCACCATTGAATAACACCAAACTTTTAAAATCTAATGAAGTATAAGATCTAATAACACCAGATTTTAACGTTAGATTTATAATCATTAGTTGAATAACACTGGATTAGTGTTGGATTTCAATTCTATTAAAATCCATCATTGAATAATGGAGTCGAACTCCGGTGGGGAAGACGGAGTCAAATGGACTTAACCACTTGATTAAAGGCATATTCCCACTTATGATTACTGATTAAAAGACTTTTGTGGACAACACTTATGATTACTGATTACTGATTAAAAGACTTAGCCCACCAAAAGAGTACAAGTATGGGATCCTTCTTTTTTCTTTTTCTCCTTTTTAATTTGCACTTTCAATTATTTTAATCAGTGATAATGTAGTAAAGCCATAATAAATATTTAACTTATTGATGCGCCGTGACAAGCTAAATCCTCGGATTTATTACCACCATCGTAGTCGAGAATCGTCATAAAGATTTTGCATACATGTAAACAACGATCAACTTGTTGAAAAATACTTTCAAAAGAACATGTCCACACACTTAGAATCGTACTTGTTGATCTTGTTTTCCTTGTTTTATATTCAAGATTTGAACTTTTTCGTTTTTTTGATTTTCATTGTTTGTTCTACGAAGTTTTTCACTTTTTCTTCTTATTTCATTTTTGAGATCTCCTCAATTCCTAGATCTTCTAATTAACTACCCTATAACTTTTAGATCTTCTAATTACCCTTTTTAACTTTTAGAAGAAACAAAAATCCTTTCTACATATAATTTAGTTTCTTCTGTCATCATGACGACTTTGCCTTTCCATAAAAATCACAACCTTACCAATTTGTGAATCCCTATGTTTTTCGAAACAAGGTTACAAGAACCGATAATTTCTTTCATGTATTTTTGCTACGACATAGTTAGACGATCACAGAATGAAATAACTTTATATTATAACGAAACAAGAGAGTTTTAATGCTTTAGTTTTGTCGGGATTTGCTACTAAAATTTCCATTAGACTTTTCTTTAGCTTTCAGTCTTTCACTGAGATTGGTTATGTACACACGACTGCCCTACTACATGCATTGTCATATAAAATATTTGTATAAATCTTCACTTTTTCTTTAAGCACTTTGTAAAAAGGACATCATCATAATGATTATATAACAAAGAGAAAGATTTTGTGGTGAGAAGTATTATGTTCTTTTTCTAATATCTTTCACTACACAAATTTCTTCTCTATATTATATAATCACATTATCATGTTCTTTTTTTTTCCTTTTTGGTTATGGATATGGGTTATTTTTTCTTTAACTCACTTTTGTTCATGTTCTAAGCTCAAGATAATCTCATATATTAAAAAATAGAACTTAATTTTGTTTGTATAGTTCTCAAGAGTAATTATCAGATTGTATATCTTGGTTTAGTAGGTTTAGTTATTTGGTTTAACTTAACCAATTGTATAGTTGTATAGTATAAATACACTTGTACAGTAATGATGAATAATAACGAGAAATGTTTTGATAATATCTCTAACAAACTTTCTCAAACTCTCTCTTTTTCTCCAATCGTAATATGGTATCAGAGACATCAAAGCTCTAATCTCCATTGATTTTGATCCGATTTCTTCGCTTTTGAGCTCACAATCGTCTTCTCCATTGCTCGATTTCAAGAAACAATGGTGACTGTAGCTCGCGCCACTCGGAAATCTACTCGATCGAAGTCAGGAACAAGTTCAGCTATTCGGAAGTCGTCGCGATCCACCGGTGTTGTTAATTCTCCTCCGATCTCTCCTCCAGTTAACAGATCTCAAGTTTCTGGAGCTTCGCGAGTTCTCACAACATCCGCCAATCTTTTTCTATTTCTTCTTGTACCACTCTTCCTCAAGTTTAGCAACATTTGCTCGTGTTAAAATGAGCAAATACTACAACAACGATATCTCATTATGCAGCTAAATTTAAAAATTCTAAATTTTAGGGTGGAGACAAGTTGAATCAATTCAAAAAAAAAAAAAACGTATAGTCGAAGAACATGATTCAGTTATACAGTATGGCTTTGAAACTGAAAAGGTTTTGACTAATTAAGGACATGATTAAATTTGTCTTTTGGGAGTTTGTCTCTTTTGAAAGTTATATATTCTTCTCTAGTCTCCAGACCCTACCCATTATATTGGATATGATAGATCCCATCTTTTACTTGAGCTTTTTTATGTACTTGCTATAAATAACTTTATCTTTGTTGATAAATAAATTTCACATTCCAACAAATAACCAAAAAAAAACTATTCCTGATTCCAATTTTTTCGTGCATATATGTTAGATCATGTAGATGTCTTTAGTAGAGTGCTCTACTTTTAGAAATTTAAATAATTCACGCAATTAGCAATTCGTGGATTATAAAATTAGAATCCAGTTGCTTGTTAATAACATTATTATTCCATAAAAAAAATTATTAGAAAAGGAGAAATGGGTATAGATAATGAGTTAGCATGAAAGACTATTAATGACAAATATTGTGACTCACAAGAGAAGTCGCATATTATGTCTCACAACCTCGAATTTCCCTAGAACCAAAGAATCTCCTACATAGACTGCCTTAAGTAAGAGAGTACTCTATGACTAATTATAATTGTAGCCCTTGATTAGATGCTCTTGTGGATCATATGGTAGACTTGGATAAGTGAGTTCAAGATCCGTTGCATAGATGCCAGAGGCTTGTTGAGGTTCTTCGTTGCTCATCAGGTAATTAAATTGAGGAGAAGACGGATATTGCTGTTGTTGATGCTGATGGAGAATCTGATGGTCAAGATATGGCAAAGGAGGCAGAGGATTGGTTATGACCTGGTTGTTGTTCATTGTCAAGTAACCATTTTGATATTGATTCTGCTGGATCTGGTTCACGGCTCGTCCATTCATTAGGTATGGTGATATTGTTGTGTTGACATTGTCTGAACCTTGGAGAGAAGGAGCTGGTCTATTATACGCAGTGGACCAACCATCCTCTTGTGTTTCTTCAGGAATTTGGTTTTCTTCAAGATTGATACGGTGTTTCTGCACAACAAAACAAATTGGAATTTGTATTAGTGGTTTTTAATAAAAAAAAAAAAAACCCTAATTCAATGGTTTTCTTGTCATGAAAGAAAAATATTTAGTGTGTTTTTTTCTCTTTAATTACCTGAAGATGACTGGCCACATTGCTTCGAGTGATTCCTTCTACCTTCATTTCTAGCAAGCAGTCGAGAAGTACCTTTGGATTAGCTTCTGCATTTTGAAATCCAAACACGATTAGAACAAAAACAAAGATATAAAAATCAAGAGATTAAGAAAAGTTTGATTACTTTCGATGCCACCAACTATTTCGATGGCTTCCAGAAATTTTTGGTGAAGATCTTCGGTCCATGTCATCCGCGGCTTCCGTGGCTTTTTTGCTTCTTTCTTTTCCGTGTTTTGTCTGCCGTTACCTCCGTTTATGGTTATGGAATCATGGTAGTCTCGGTCTAAACCGGCAGTCTGAACCAGATATGATTGAACCGGTTGAAATACATCGGTCCATGTCAGTCGCGGTTTCTTTGCTGCTTTGTTGAACATGTTATCTTGGTTCATGATTTGGGAATAGTCATTGAGTTGGTCGAACTTGTTGACTTGAACCAGATCTGATTGAACCGGTTGAATTACTCCGGTCCATGTCAACCGCGGTTTCGTTGCTGCTTTGTTGAACATGTTATCTTGGTTCAT